TTTTTATACTAAGCCTTGAGTTTAATACTAAAAGTAATAATTGGAAGATTTGGAAATTAAAGTTTGTTCAAACCATTAATTCCTTGGTATTCTGACTTTTCAAAACATAAACACTTGGTTGTATTGGATCTAAAGTCATACACTATAGGCTGTAGGAGCTTAGGTATGTTATTTCAAACCCAATCCGCTTTCTTCTTCACACTCATTTACTGCACATTCTCAATGTATTCCAACTCCATCAAAGAACTTAATTTTATTCTCTTTTTGCAATTTCAGTTTGTAAATACTTTCATTTTTAATATTGGCGTCAAAAGTTTTATTTACTTTTTTTTCAAAAATAAATGATTTTTTGAATTTTTTATTCAATTAATTTTTCATATTTCAAAAAAATTTCGTCAATTTATTCATTTGACCAACATGAACAATTAGATCTAACAATCTTGTAATCTTTTGGTATCACGTATCACATTGTGATGTTTTTGGACATTTATTGAATTTTAATAAAATTTTAGTTTTTTCTAAAAATTAATATTTTAAAAAATATAAATTTTGTGTGGTAGAACCACAGTGTGTCATGTGACAAAAATATCTCTGAAAAAACTATTAAGACTTAACGGTCAAAATTGATGAAATAATTTTATTGATTCAATTTTTTAATTTGTGACAGTAATTGATTTAATTTCTCAGTTTAAAAATACATTTAGATACAAAAAATCAATAATAGTAACTCATTTTTCTAAAAAATAAAAAATAAAAGCTACAAGCACCCTTAAACCTTATTATAATCACATCCTACCTTTTAGTTAAATTTAAAACATTTTTTATAGAATTATTATGATTTTAATTAAAATGATAATTAAACAGGACGGATGCACTAAGTCCCTTAGGGGCTAAGTGTATCCTATTATATTAGAAAATTGATTAAATTTAGTTTAATGTGTTAAAAATAAATAAATAAATAAATAAATAATTATATACCCATTTTTTAAGAAACAATTAATGTTTTGTATCTACATTCTTAAGTTTATAGATCTGTCACTATAATCAAACTATTAAAATTTTCATAATACTAATGTAACAAGTGAATGACAATTTAACATATATTTTATTACTTACGCAATATTATACCATATCAAAAAATAATTTTAAATTATAAAAAAATATTTAAAAAAAAACAATATGTTACAAAGAAGTGCAAGGCGAATAAGATTATTTGATCAACAAAATAATATCACACCATCAAATAAGTAAACATGAACTGTTACATAGCGGTCATGTTGGTGTTATGAAATTATTAACAATTAATTACATTTTTTTATTAAAAATACAATAAATATTATTAAAAATAAAAACTAATAATTAAGTTTCACTTAAAAAATCAATATTTATTTAAAAAAACATAAATATTAAAAATTAAATTTTATCATTATATTCTCTCGTCGCCTTACTTCTTTTTTCATTTGCTTTGCAGGTGATAATATCAATTTTAGTGTTGATTGTTAATTACATGTATTTTTTTTAATTTTCATATATCACAATTTTGTTTCTCATTTTTTCAGTAACTTTTTCTTTATTACTCGTTTTTTTCTATCTTTATGACACATTTTTATTTATATTTTGACACGTTTTTTGTCTTCTTTATATGTCGTTTGACCATTTTTTTGTTTAGCTTTCTCAAGGTTAGATTTGGTATTGTCACGACTAATCAAGATGTCACTTATTTATTTTCATGTTGATTTTCTCTGCTTTGGACCCTCAGTAGATTTGGATACATGTTTTACATTTAGAGTTAGTTTTCTCATGACACTCGACTCTAATTTGTGATTCTTGATGGTCTTTTAATAGTTTGATCTTTTAATAGTTTGATCTTTTATTGTAATTTGTTTGTTGATGCTGTTAAATTTATTCATATATATCTTTTGTTCAAATTATTTGGAAGAGTTTTTAACATTTTCCTTATATAATCATTATATGATCTCATGTGACTAATTTCATATACTAATAATTATAGTAATGTGTTTTAATTATATGTTTATTATAATATTGAATATTTCTTCATAAAATTAATTACTTTTATCTGTATAAAAAATATCATAAACTATATATGTCACGTCACGTATATAAAGTCTACCAACTGATAAATGAAATTATTCATATATTACACGAATAAGGCTCAATAAAAATTATTATTAGTATTAGTTGTGACTTGTTTCACTCTCTTTCTTTTTATCAAGTTGTTGAGTCACATTTATGTAATTATGGACATGAATCGATATTTTCTATGAAAAAAAATGTATAAAAATACATTATTAAATTAATATTCAAAACACAAAAAAGGGACGAAGTGATATAATAAGCCCCCAAATTAAAAATCTAATATAATAAATGATTAAGGCTTCCATTAATAATAATGATAAGTAAAACAAGGAGAGGCGGTTTGCCCCGTTATTTTGGTTGATGACCATTATTGTAAATTTCCAATATCATCCTCAAATTTATCATTGGAAAATAAAACTCCAAGAGGTCAAAAATGACCATCTATTCTTATCGTTATTGCGTGGAGGAATAGTCAATTCCTAACGGTATCTATCCACCGACCACCTACCTACCCTTTATTTTAGTTCATCTCTGCGTACAATAAATAAATAATTAAAATTAAATTATGTCACATTTATATTATATATAGATAATTAAAAATAAATTTTATCATATTTATTTATAAAAAAATATTTTATATAAAAATATATTTATTAAATTTTAATTAAAAAATTATAATTGATGAAATGATAAAAAATGTATTTAAATTTATGGTCACATAGTTAATATTTACATTAAGTTTTTTTGTTATTTTATTTAATAATATATAAAAGTATAAATTGATAAAAATATTTTTATAATAATATTAACTATAAAAACAAAGTTTCATTAATTTTTTTATTTGAATTAGAAATCAATTATCTAATTCTTATAGTATCTTTATACATATTGATATTTATTTTCAAAAAGGTTGTATAATGTCATTTTAAAGATTTATAAAATTCACTTAAAAGCATATTGAACTTAATTTGTTTATTATTGTTATTATACTATATAAGAGAATGTGAATTCCAACGCGTTTAAATATATAAATTTTTATTTATAAAAAAATATTTTGTAAATTTATAGCAGATATATCTAAATAATTTAGTTATTATATAAAAATTATTTAGAATACTAATCAAATTTATCTTTATACAATAAAATGATTTATTATTTTAAATTATTAATTAACATTAAAACTAGATCATAAATATTTGGGCAAAGTACACAAATAGTATCTCGACTATAGGATACTATTTGGTTAAGTCTTCCTATTATCAAAAGTTACAAAATGGTCATTTGACTATAGGGTGCTACTTTTTGAGTCAACTGACTATTAAAAGTTACAAAATAGTCATCTGACTATTCATATGTTCTAAACTTGTCCTTTTTCGTTAAAAATTGGCGGTCATATGAGCTGAACATTAACACGTTGATTGAGATATGATAAAATCTAATTCTAGAATCGTTTGAGTTGTATTTTGTGGATCGACTCTCCATTTATATTATGTCGTCGAGCCAGTGCTTGAAAGCAACAACAATACAAGTAGACATCATTGAAATATGATTTTATCATATCTTAGTCAGCGAATTAACGTCAAACTCAGACGACTGTCGATTTTTTAACGGAAAAGGATGAGTTTGAAACATATGAATAGTTAGGTGACCATTTTGTAATTTTTAATAGTTAGAGAACTCAACAAAACAACACCCTACAGTTAGGGGATAATTTTATAACTTTTAATAGTCGAGGGACTCAAGAAATTAGCGTCCTATAGTTAGAGGACCATTCGTATACTTTACCCTAGATATTTTTCTCTCTTATAAAAACTTGTTAAAGAAAAAAAAAACAATGTGAGAACAAACAAAGGTAGAATCCACAGAAAATAAAATTATTAATTGATTAAAAATGTTCAGAGAAAGAAAACCACATTTCTTTATCTTTACCTCTGAATCAAACTCCTCCTCCCCACAAAACGACAACTCCCCATCACCGCCTGCTAAATACATACTTATTCCACCTAATTAAATAATTTATCTTTAATTAAATATTACACTATTCAAAGTGGAAATCTAGATAAACAAGCACCTTAAGGTTAACTATTTAAACTATTACCGACAATTGTATTATTATATTTATATAATGCTCATATTTAAATTTTAGAATTTTTTTAATAGTCTCGGATATTCTTTTTCTTGTAATTATAAAATTTTAATATATATTCACAAATCACGGAATAATATACTAACAATTAAGTTAATATCAACATAAATTTTCGGTTGTTGATAACAAATAAAAGAAGTGATATTAAATAGAATGAATTTTCAATTAAGTTTATTAATTGAATTAAAATTACTTTTTTTTAATATTGAGTATTGAGATATACTAAACAAGGCCCAAACAACTCCTAGATGCCAAATTGAAAGCATCTGCATGATCTAATCCCTTATTTAAAGAAATAAATAATAATCTTCTTAGTCCTTCTATCGTGTCAAAAATGTTGATTTAGTCCATCTAATTTGATGTGACGTGAATTATTATTTTAATTTTATAAATTGATAATATAATTAATTATTTTCGTTAGATTGAGAATACTGAATTAAAAGAATTAAACCTTTGATTAATATATAAAATTGTTATTAATTAAAAATGATTAATTGGATTTTTATAAGGTGTGTAATTCACATGACATCAGTTTAAAGATAATAAGTAGTAGTGTTGTGATTGATTCAGATTTTACTAAAACGTTATTAAGATAGAGAAATTAAATGATATAAAATTAAAACAAAAAGAGTAAAACTTAAATTTTAATATAGTTGAGGGATTTAGGATATAATTAAACTACTCCCTTGGTTCACACAGCCCAGATTTGTGTCGGTGAAATTGGATTTTCTCAATTTTAGGTTTGATTTCTCTCTCTGCCAAAGTTCTCAACATAGACATACCTTTGTAATGTCTGGGGGAAAAAACATTTCAACAACTTAAAAGTTTAAACAAACGCACGACGCTTCACACAAAGCATGTCATCTCTAAAACTCAAACCTTCCCTTTGCTTGCTTTCATAGTTCTTCGTCCCCAGTTTTTACAAGAGAAAAAAAAGATCCCAATCAGAAACAAACCCAGAGCTGGAAAACATTGGATTTCTCGAATAGAGGCAATGGACAATGGAAGGGGAGCTGTTGGTTCGAGGAAGTCTGCGGAGAGGCCGTACAAAGGGATAAGGATGAGGAAGTGGGGGAAATGGGTGGCTGAGATTAGGGAACCCAATAAACGGTCCAGGATTTGGTTAGGGTCTTATTCCACCCCGGTTGCGGCAGCCAGAGCTTACGACACGGCGGTTTTTTACCTGCGTGGGCCGTCAGCTAGGCTGAATTTTCCCGACCTTTTGGCGGGAGAGAAACTCGTTGGCGATTTATCGGCGGCTTTTATAAGGAAGAAAGCGATTGAAGTTGGTGCCAGAGTCGATGCTCTCGAGGCAGCTCATCATCTTCATCCTCGTCATGTTCATAATAATTATAATCTTAATCCCAATTATAATCTTAGTTATGGAGAAAAGTTGAAGCCGAGTGGCGGGTTTTTACAGCGGGTTGACTTGAACAAGATGCCCGACCCGGAGGATTCTGACGGTGAATGGGAGAGCAAGTAGAAGGGAAAACAAGTTGATTCCTCCATCATGCCCCTTCAATTATTATGGTCACTGCTACTATTTTTTTGGGGTCCTGTCTCTGCTTCTCTGGGCTCAGGATGGGAGGGAAGTTGCTAACATGCACCGCGGGCAGTAGATAATGCGCGCCGTAGTGGAGGTAAGGTAAGTTAAAAAATGACGGCTGAAGAAATGATGAAGCCTTTGTATTTTATTATTGTCCAATTAATGAAAAATCATTGGTTTTTCCAATTGGGATTTTTACCTTTGTGTTAACATTCTCCGATCATAAATTTGGCACTAATCTCTCTTTTTACTGCGTTCTTTCTTCGTCAAATAATTGTTTGGAGTTTTAATTAAACCTTAATAGAAAGAAAATAAAATCTTAATTAGATATGGAAAAAGAAGAAGAAAAGAGCGGGAGTGGGGGAACAGAGTGGCCTACACATCCCAGCAGTTGGTGCAAAAGGGGAGGGCGGGGTAACTTCTAAACTTATTAACTACCAAGTGATGAGATTTTTTGTTTTTCTGCTTCCCCACTGCGTCTGTGCAAGTGGGTCACCATTAATCAAAGCTCCGGGATGGGACTGCCGTATATGATGCTGTTTCCTCCAACTTCATCCTGCTAACCTCTTTTTTATTATTTTTTGCCGACCTGGAATTTTTAATTGACGATGTTTTAAGGTCATCTGGAAGCCATCCGGATTTAGTACTCGGAAGTATTTGGGACTGTTGGGTGAGATTATGTTTTAAGTTTGATTAATATTTTTTACAACTAATCTCTCATAAAAATATTTATTCTCTCTTAAAAAAATTTGTTGTCCACAGTTAAACCTTTGATTTGTCATGCATGATGTTAGATCTATGTTTTAAAATATTTTTCTGAGATGAAATAAATAAAAAAAATGGGGATTTGTTTTTCTTATTGTGTGTTCAGTTAACAATTTGCATGCGCCATTCGCCAGTGGCCAACTTTTTTTTTTAATTTCCAAAAGAGGAGAGGACGTAAACTCTTTTACTGAACCGACCCACAATTAGCGGAAAGAAAATGAAAAGTATATTACTTGTTTAACACTTAACAGTGATGTGAATTCTGAATAATTAATGCTTTCCCAATTCGTCTCTTTCTCATGTGCGGATGCTATGGTATTACCTTTAGCTGCCTATCACTCACAACGCGGGCAGGTCACAACAGATATTTGTGTTAGGAAACAGTTGTACAACAACATCCAAATAATCACCTCCCCCTATTTTCCACATATACTTCCTTCCTTTGTGACTCTACAGTTCGTTTTCTTTCTGTAAATTACTTTACCATTTTTATATTCGTGGGAAACCAAAATAAGAAACAAGGACTGTTAATCACATGAAAAAAGAAGAGACAGAAAACCAAATAAAGCATAAGAATATGAAAGAACGCAGTTAATACATATAGCTCATGTAGCAAGGAAGATAGCATTAGCTGGTAATTTCGGTTGAAACGCCCCACCACAAGCGGATGCTCCAAGTTCAAAGAACCTACGACCCCATGTTTACATCACAGACATAAATATCAAATGCAAATGCGGATATTTTAAAATAAGTAACATATAGCTTAAAAACATTGACAACAATTCCTGCTTAACTACTGCCCTCCCTTCCCAATGTGTCAATCCCGGTATAACTATAACAATGTTAGTAATGTAAATTATATATAATATCATACAAAAGCAGCGTGAAACTTGACCAAATAAAGCACGTAATCACCCTTTCTCCAAACTTTTCTTAGATAAATGGAGAAAGGATTCCAGCGCTGCCCTATCCAACGCCTAAAATATCACAAAATTATAAGTTTCTTGAAGCTTGAGTTAAGGTTTTCCTTCAATTTCACGCTTTATTTGAAGGGCAGCTCTAACCACATTCCCTCTTGTGATGATACCCACCTTTAGAAAAAGTACAGAGAGCTTAGCAAACGCAAGAGGAAATCATAATAAACAAATTTGGTTAAAATCAGAGGGATTTTTTTTTAAAATGCTTCTGTACTTACCAGCTTACCCCCTACATCAACAACTGGAAGTCGCCGATATTTTGTCTCAAGCAGTAATCTGAAATTTTTTTATAAACCAATTACAATGTACACTTCCCTATTTCACAATGCATGACCACTTATTGGGATGTGATCAAGTGGTAGGATAATATGAGCTCAAATAATGATTTCGAATTTGAATCTAGACACTTTCCTATTGTGCCAATATATGAAAAGACAGGAGCATAGATTATCGAAGTAGTTAATCCAAGTATGGAAAAACAAAGGCAGGATAAGTTCGACAGACCTAGCAGCATCCTCGAGGTTAGTTGTCTCACGTACAACTAATGGAGCGGGTGTCATCAAATCGCCAACCACCTGGCCGTTTGTTTTGCTGAGTAACTTCTGTACCTCATTGAAAGTCTGCAAAGTTGAGGAACCATCAGTAAAATTTAATTATAAACACAACAGGAGCCAATTGCAGTAAATTCAAATAGACACAAGTTATGCAACCTTCGAAGTTCACAACCTAGTTTGCTTAAGTAATGCCAAAATGCAAAAACTGTAGTTTGCTCCACCACATTGCTATGAATCACTAAAAGGACAGAGCATTGACTAAGTTTCCACTTATCCTCTTCTGACTCAAAAAGGCACATTTTTTTTTACAAAATATCATCGCTTGCCAAAAAATTGTTGTATTCTATTCTCAAACTACCATCACAACATTAGAAAACAAGTACATTAAGTAAGCAGATTCAGATATGCCCATTTGTAGCAGGTGAAATATCTGTGCTCGTAAGATGTAATTGACTAGAGTTAATGTTTTAAAAGTCCAGAAAATGAAAACTAAAGAACTACGCGAAAGACGGCGACTTTTGCAAAAGAAAGATGCATCTATATAAAGATAGAAAATTCTTGCTTACTTTCCAAGTGCTATCAACTTCAGGAAACAAGTTGTTCTCAGTCCGCGGCCCTGATTGAAAGAACAATACATATGAATTATCTATCATCAAATGAACATTCTCCAGATTCATGCAAATTCCCATCAAGGAACACAGAGCCACTTTATCAAATTAAAGAAACTGATTTATAGCAATCAATACCCACTCCGCTTTCTATTAGCCTAGAAAGACTGCCATAGAAAAACTAGCATCTCAGATAAATATGAACTTGTTCACGCAAAAACGGCAAGGGGAGTGATAAAAATCCAATGCTCAAATTAGACTGCAGTTACTAATATATAGATTTCAGAAGCCAAAAAAGAGGGGTCTGCTTCTAGGAGAACTGTAGATAACTAGGATAAACATAGTTATGAATTGACTATCATCACATTAACATACCCCAGATTCATGACAAATTTCCACAAAGGAACACAGTGCAACTAAATCAGATTAAAGAAACTCATTTATAGTAATCAGTACCTAGACAGGAAGCCATATAAGAACTAGCATCTCAGCTTAATACAAACTAATTCACACTAAAACCACAAGAGAAGTGATAAAAATCCAATGTTCAAATTAGAATGCAGTTGTTACTAACATAGAGAATTCAGAAGCAAAAAAAGGGGGTCTGCTTCTAGGAGAAATGTACATAAATGTTGGATGGACAGATAGCATATAATAACAAATTGACAACAAAAATAAGAAAGCCACAGTAAAATTGATCAGATAACTTAAATTTACCAGATATGGAGTCCAATGCTAGCAAGTCATAATCAGAAACAAGTCCAACCTGAAGCAGCAAAGAACATGATCTCATTATTACATAAGTAAAAGCCAATATTAACTAGGTCAAAAAAGATAAGGCGATTTCACAAACCAAATAAACAAAACTGAAATAGTGAAATTGACTGCAATGTAAAGCATGGTGGAAGAATTTCAATAAAGAATGCACCTAGATGTTGACACTTGAGACAAGGTCTTTTTTTAATAACTGAATTTATATTCAAGACTGAAAAGAAAGCAGAAAATATGCTCTACATAATCATGTTATAGCCATATATTTTCTGTTTTGGCTTATACCCCTCATCCTACACAGAGAGTTATTCACATCACTGTACATAATATTTGCATTACAGAATCGAGCTTGCACAGTTGCAACAATCAATTGAAATGGAATGTAGAAGCAATAATGAATTTATATACAATGGAGATGTGCCCAAACCCAGAATGTCATCATGTAGCCAGAACAATCTTTCCTTCACCCAACTCGCCTTAAAGTCTTAAGAATGGAGTAAGGAACGTACCGTGTTTGCCAATAGACTCAATTGGCCACTATTTCACTAAGATATTTGCTTAAACTTAATGAAGCATGACTATCTATCAAAGTCTCTAAGAATAGCATTCTACCCTTCATAGGGTAGGTCCAACATCTTATCCAACAACACTCACTTTTAGGGACATTTGGCCTCGTTGGACAATGCAAATGCTAGGATTCCACTTTTCTTGAAATGTCATGAAACCATGACAAAAAAAAGTTTAGAGGTTTGGTACCAAAAGATAGAAAAAGAAAAGCAAATGAATAGTTATAACCTCACAACAAAATTTAGGGGGAAAGATGACATACCAATTTCCAATCATCATCAATAACAGGAAAACCAGTGATTCTGTGTTCAACAAGAGCTTCCAATGCTATTGGTGTTGGCACAAGATCAATAAATTAGAGCCTTCTATTTTAAATACACAAACACAAACATAGACAAGATATTATAAGACATAAGCTAAGCAAAAACAAGTACCTTCATCAACAGTTGTTGTTGGCTTTACCACATGTAAATCCTCTTTTCTCGTCATAAAATCCCCAACTGTATATACTCCACCTCTTGGCTGCATACACACAAAACAAAAAGAAACGTTCATACAAATAACATGAGTGAAGTTCAAAAACCATAAAAGTTCCATCTTCCAAATTACTGATCTATATAGCAATTTTCCTCCCGAATCACGTTTGACATGGTTAAATTGACTTTGCACTACTATATTGGAGACGCATGTGGATACACACAAACTTTTACATTCTAAACAACTACAGACAATATTCAGATAAAAATAAATAAATGAAAGAGATGCTCGAGAACTACTTACTGTCTTTGCATCCTAAATCGCTGAAACTTACCACCTATAACAGTAAATCACCGAAAGTGGAAAAATCTAAACATAAACAAGCCATCAATTTTCAAATAAAATTGAATTAAACAGCAAAATTCCATGCATGTAAAAGATAACTCTCTTTAAGATGTTTAGACTCTAAGTCTTCTAAAACTAGCA